ATTCGCTACGCTCCTGTGTCCAGGTACCCTTACAAGGTTCAGAGAGAACTGCTTAGCCATCGCTTGAAGAGACCTGCGGCACTCGTCTACGATTTTAGATTTTACTGTTAAAAACTCCAGGGCTCTACTATCCAAACAAATTTGGATACGATTATCCGAGGGCGAAGATGAGATGAGACAGTTCACAACCTCATGGATAGCCAACAATTCCACTTAAACTATCTTGATCCGGTAAGGTCTTACAAATACTAAGATCCCTGTGAGTAGACTGCGCTACCAACCCTTAATAAATCCTGTCCCAAAGGGTTCCATCCGGGATAACTACCTTGAAATCTGTCATTAAGCCAGTGAATGATATGCAGTAATCTGCTTTTTTTCTGTCAGAAGGAATCTTTTTAAGATATACTAGCATCTACCATCACTAGCCCGTAGTCTATTACTATCCATCCAGACACCTTGACACATTGTGCGGCCGCATTATGTCAATGGGGAGTGGATCTATTGTAAGAGAACACTCATAGCCTCAGTTGCTGTGGTACGAAGTGCTCCGCTGATGCATAGGGTGAGTCCTACGTATTTTACAGACTCAGCAATGCTCAGGCCCGTTCCTGAGAACGTTGGTGTTGAAAATTTAGGAACTTTATACGTCATGGTGAAAAGAACGAGTTCAGCTTTCTTTGGGTTGATGTCCAGTCCAGCATCAATAGCCCACTTTTCTGTTCGCCTGAGTCCGTTTTGCATAATATTACAAAAGATTGTGCATCTCCCACTCCTCCGTATGTCTCAGCAGTTGGTTAATTGTCTAGATCCATAGAAGAGGTGAGAGAACTCCACCCTGTGAGGTACCTCTTCTAATATACCTAAGTGCCGACACCCTGGATGTCCCACGAGCATACCGCATAAGCCTGGTTCGTAAAGATGTCTGACGCATTCGCAGTGCGCACGCTCGCCATAATAAGCCTACCACGGCCGATAATAACGAGAATCCGCTAGAGTAGCAAGAGGTAAAAGGATAAAGGAGTGATCCTGAAGATGACCTTGAAGTTGAGTAGCAGATTCAACCGACTCCTTGAGGAAGCCATACCTGAGCAGTAAAGATTCTTCAGGTGCCTATACATGAAAGCACTTTCACATGCTCACTTCAAACACAACACTAAATCAACAACAGCGTGCCATTCGTTTCTTTCCATGCTGTTTGGCTCCAACTGGAAATACTAAGTCAAATCAGGTCACACTAAACCTGATCCAACCAAGGGATTCTTCCTCTTCCTCTATTAAACCATGATCGAAAACATTCAAAACTGAAGTGTGGTCGCCCACACGGATGGCATAACCTAGCCACCATAGGCGATGTCTTATTACTCACCCAACTATGTTAATGTAGCCGTGAAACCGCTGCATTGCCTGCTGTATTTGCCGTTGCGAATGACTGGTAATTTCCCGCAAAATCTTTCTCTCGAAAACTCCTCGTAAAAGCGCATCGGATGCTATCATCTTCCATGTTTCTGGGCATTTAATCAGGACGTATATGACATTGACATATAGAAATGCTGCTGTGGAAGATTGCAACTTGTCTGCTTAAATCTACAGTTCTTACAGTTTCCTTTAGCATTATGTTATAGAAGTCACACGAAAATGAGTCGCTTTGTATGGAGATTCATTTAGAAATAAATAGCGTGGAAAGATTTTACCGATTCTTATGGAACTGTTGGTGTTCAGCTTAATTTACAAAGCCCAGGTCTTTCGTTCGTCTAATTTGGTTTTTTCAACGTCTTTCCCCTTATCATCGATTTGAGTTACGAATTCAGCATCACCGCGTATTGTTCTTTCACTGTCATTCAGAGGGGTAAGAGAAGTATTCGCGCCACAAGTTCAGTATGCTCTGGATCTTAGTTGCTACACACCGCTGTTGCCTCTAAATTTTGGGTTATTGATTTTCATTTATTATTCTGCGCTATTTGTTCGAGCAGCAAGTGCAGTTCTTTCTTGAAAGTCCTGGATTTAAGAGTTTATATAATTGTTGTCGTAGCTAGAATTTATTATCGGTGATGATAAGGTGAGCAACAACGTCAGTCTCTCCGAGTACACTAAAAACATTCATTGAGGGCCAACCTTGGAAGGTTAAAGTCTCAAGATTTTAGAGCAGTTCAGAATATCAGTAGATCCATATTGCTTCCAGTTCTAATATCTTTTTCCTTTAAGCCTCGTTAAGGAACTTGAAAATGTCTCAAATTCTCAATGGCAGATCTTTTTTTTAACTGTTGGGACTTTCTAAAAATAACACTGAAAACAAAAACACAGGCACCGCTGTCGTCGTCATCCGACTACGGGCAATAAACAAATTGAATTCTTTGGCAGCCTGAAATGAAATAATAATTATTTATTTAATACAAAAATTCCTACATACTTACGCCGGTATTAACAGTGCCCACTTTTATAAATAATTGTAGTAAATAATTGACCCACCTGACAAATAATAATAATATAAGGAAAATGAATAACTACCTGCGAAGACAATGCATAAACATATAGCATACGTACTTACGTATGTATGTTCGTATATCTGTTCATATATTCAAAATTGTACTTACATATAGAATATGAAACCTCTGTCCGCAAGTTCTTATGGGGGAAATACAAAAAAATATTTGCCGCATAATTAAAGCGATGTGTTATAATGCCATTGCCAATGCCGGGTGAAGACCAACGCTATGCACCCAGAAATATATTTACATTTGGTTTTCTGTATGTATACATATACGAGTGTATTCTGCCCATTTTCCTTAAGATTTCATCACACAAGTCACACATCATCATAACTATAAACCAACTAATGCGGCGCTGTTAAGAGGAGGACTTATTGCGCTTCTATGCTTATTATTCATTTTATACTCATTAGTGTCATAAACAACGGAGTCAGCGGAAAAGTATATGCGACAAAACGGTAAGCGGAGAGAAATGGCAAGTTGGTAGCATGAGCAGGCCCTAACCTTGTAATAAATACCTAAAAAATATATATAATTATATGTATGTATATACTGAAGATAGTGTTTGTATGTGCTTGTGCATAAACTATGGAAAGTTAATGAGGCATACGCCATATAATATGTGTGACAAACGATACTTGTTACAAACATACATCGTTATGTTGACATACGTATGAGTAAACAACTTAATAGATGGTTTCCTTCGCGTTGTTGATGAGTGAAAAAATTTGAGTCAAAGTTACTTTGCACTTAACCAATTATAAAATGGAAAATGTGCGTATTTCGGCAGAAAATTAATTTTTTAATAGCTTATGTGATTAACTTGGGATTAAAATTCACAAATTTAATTGGGGTAAAAAATATATGGAAAAACTAAAACCTTAAAATATTTATCTATTACTCAAATGGCGCAAACTAAAAAAAAATGAAAAATAATGGAAATAAAATAAAATAAAATAAAATAAAATAAAATAAAATAAAATAAAATAAAATAAAATAAAATAAAATAAAATAAAATAAAATAAAATAAAATAAAATAAAATAAAATAAAATAAAATAAAATAAAATAAAATAAAATAAAATAAAATAAAATAAAAAAGAAATAATAAAATATAACCAAAAATAAAGTAAAATTCAGGCATAAAAAAATTAAAGTAATACAGGAATTTAATGAATGAATGATTAAACCATATGCAAAAAAAATCGTATTCAGCTATTTAAAAGTGATTTACATCTAACAATTTTCCACACTTTTGAGGACTTCTGTTTTTTGTAATATAATGACTTTTAGCAGGACCTCAGAAATCTCTTTGCCAAATTACTGTCAAAGAAATTATTAAAAGCACTGAAAATATTAGTAATATTTTACAGTTAAATACGTTTTTTAAGATCATTATTTAGGAAATTTTTTAGAATTTTTTTTATTGAATCAGCTCTTCAATTAAACAGAAGTAAAACAAATAATAGGTATTCGATAGTGAGCTGTTAATCTTCTCACCACATATTATAGCGGTTTTTCAAAGGATATATAACTGTTGACATGCAGTTTTTAATTTAATGTGCTTATTTTGTATATGTCGAGGGTGTGCTTGAATATATTATTTCTTCTATGTAATAATATTATTTTTATGCCGAAAAATGTTCAAAGATATAATGAGTTTCGCTATAAATTTCATATTTTTGTGTTTCCTTTTGAATTTACAGCATTGGCGAACAAAATGCATGATAATCTCAAAATGTCAATTATGGCCAATTAATTTTGCTTTTTTCAACAAAGTTTATTTTGTGTTATTATCGCTTAATAATTCTTTTATGATGTACATTTAATACCGCTGTCAATTTGGATTAATAATAAATTGTGAAATTCTGGTTTGAAAATATTAAATTTCAAATAACTTTCCTTTGCGATCAATGGAATGTTTTTAACGTGTTTTTTTGCTTTTTTTCTTGCTTCCTTTTCATGTACAACCGCAACAACAAAACCAACAAAAAAATATTTGTGGAAAAACTGTTTACAACAAACCGTGCGGCACTAATCTCCAAATGATTAACAACACAAACGGATGGTGCTTTTGAAAACGAAATTTACAACGAAAACAACAATAACAATAATAACAACAACGACAACTATTGTCCGGAATCTGCTGTAACTACAACTACTGTTACTGCTCTTATCTACCGCCTTTACTTCACCACAACCAACGCTACGCCATGGCGTATACGTAATCATTATACGCTTGCTTCAACGTCTTCTTATTTTTCTTTTGGTTGTTGGCGCTTTTTTACTTCCATGCGCCTGAATGTCCTTTTGTTTGCCTGCATTTGATTGACATTTCATGGGAAAACCACTAACGCTTTTGTGTTTTGCGTGATAATCAACGAATACACGCGCACACATATATATGTACATGCACATATATTTGCAATAACAAATACAACAACAACGACAATAATAATCATAATAACAACGACGACGACAACAACAACAACAACACCAACAACAACAAATTCTACATGTGTACTGCAGTGAAAACAAAAGACATCGATGCCGTTGAAGGTAAATCCGTCTCCCTGCCCTGTCCGATCAGTGCGCCGTTGAGTGACGTTTACATGGTCTTATGGTTTCGCGATAATGCTGGTATACCATTGTACAGGTAAGTGACAGCTATATATGTGTATATAAAGAAAGTGTATGATTAAAGATAATAAACTTATTGTGCAATAATAATTTGTATTCCGCTTGCTTTTTTAAATTTTATTTTATTACTCACTTGAAGAACGTGTGAAAGGGTTATCACCTGCTTTTCTCGCCTCGCCTTGTGATTTTTACTTTTATTTGCCTCGCTTGCTGCATATAATATTGCCAGTTTTGTCATCCCCTCTCTCTCTCTCTCTCTCTCTCGCAGTCTTTCTATCTTTCTCTGGGTAGTAATAATGACTGTTATATTCCAATAGCATTAAGTAAAAGTAAGTTGGCTGCGCTTAGTAATTGCTGGCAAAAGTGAGAAAGTCACACACGCGACGCTTATGGCGAAGCAAATGTTTTTATGGTTATTGCGTTGCTGCTTGTGTTGCGTTTTGTTCCTATAATTTTGTTTATATGGCGGCTTACTGTTGCTAATACATATTTGATTTATCAAAATTTTTCCATCTTATTCCTCTTCTTCTTCTCGCCAGTGATTTATTGCTTGACTTACAAGCAGCAATCCAAAAGTTCCCTTTGTCATAAGTCAAATTTTTGCCATGCTCTCATGTTGCCACACACATGCGCCTATACATATAAAAATATTATGTTTGGTTGAAGAAAACTACTTTCATATGCCACGCAATCAAGTGAGCTAGCTTAAAACTACTTCAGCAACTAGTCCACTAGTGGTTGAATTGAGTATTTGGGTTGTTATAGCTTTCGGCTACTACGATGATCTTCTTAGCTTCCCAAGGTCATGGGAATAGAGTTTCTGGAGTAAATTGCGTCCTGTGGTGCTTAGTATTAGCCATCGATAGAGTTTGCGTTCGATATACTCTTGATTATCCATGTCACCGTCGCTGCGACGGAAGTATTTCAGAAGCAACCCATTTTTCATCGTGCATTTCCGGTTATTACGCCACAATGGTTCACTGTTCCACAAGAGATTACCATCTTGACCTCTTAGTGCATTACACGTGGTTTCATTGGAACCTCTGCCAAAGGGCAGTTTGAACAGGATTCATATTGGTTAAAATGGTTGCTGCTCTAGCAAGCTAGTCCGCCGCGCATATACCCTGGATATTTCTATTTTCCTGTACCCAGATAACAGATTGCACGAGAGTCAATTGCAAGAGTTTCTACTTTTCATTGCCACGTTTTCAAACAGATTGAGATATAACAAAATTTGGAAGAAATGTATTCCACCTATTCACGAATTCTTATGGAAGATCATAAACTGGTATATCCCCGTTTTCTCCTTGATAATGTTCCAGTCTAACTGTGCTGCATCTGGTTTGAAGTCTAGTGGGGGAAAGTTTACAGGAATCACTTGACTTTGTGGGAACTGAATGAAAAATTACAGTTATGAGCACAACTGCGTAGAACTCTGCGGATTGCGCACTTACTACCGCTCATCAGTGCTACATCGATGCGTCACTGTCGCTCCACCGTCACACTATCCCAATATGAGCTCCCCGGAAAAGCGATCTCTCTCTCTCTTTCTCTCTCTCTCATTCTCTTTCACTATCACTCTCACTCTCTCTCATTCTCTTTCACTATCACCCTCACTCTCTCTCTCTCTCACTCTCTTTCACCCTCTTTCTCTCTCTCACTCTCTCTCACTCTCTTTCACTGTCACTCTCACTCTCTCTCCCTCTCCCTCTCTCACACTCTCTTTCACTGTCACTCTCACTCTCTCTCTCTCTCTCACTCTCACTCTCTTTCACTGTCACTCTCACTCTCTCTCCCTCTCCCTCTCTCACACTCTCTTTCACTGCCACTCTCTCTCTCTCTCTCTGTCTCTCACTATCTCTTTTTCTCTATCTCTCTTTGTCTCTCTCTCTCTTGGACTAAGGTTAGCGATGTGTGTGTGTGTTTTATATGGCGAAGACCCGTTGAACTTTTGCTCGTGTCTGGATGTGCTTAGCTCCTCTCAGCCTTTAAAAAACCCAGTGACATAAGGAACACAAACGAAAATGTTTATTTCTTCTCCACAAAAAAAAAAAAAAAAACAACGTGCTCAGTGTCAACACAGATTTACACGTTCTGTTTGGGTTTATTGAAAACAGATTAGCTTTCAAGGAGTACACTTTAGCCATTCCCCTTGACTTAGAGAGAAGGCTCTCCGAGGTTGTAATAAGTGCCTTTCAATTGATGGTCATTTAATAACTCGTAGTGGATTTGATGGAAAAGTTATCCTAGGCAGCACGTCGATGCCGGATATACCATAAGAGAAGAAATTTACTCTACCCTGTTGTGTGGTCTCCTTGCTGCAGTGGTATCTACTAGTTCGGCATTGCACTCAATGACGAAAAACTTGGCTAAAATCGAAATGTTACTCTCTATCAGGAGCACTGAGTTCTTTGTTTTCTCTTTCTCTCAGTAAGAAGATTATTACTTCAGTTTTGGTGCACAAGGGGGGGACCTAACGAGTCATTGAAACTTTTCGCATACAGCAACTGGTATTTTGGAGAAATGAGATTGTCAGTTTTCATTGGGAAAGTATTCTACTAGTTTTATACTAGTTCGAAATGAGTTATTGCTTTTTTGGTCGATTAAAGGCGGAGCATGAAAGACGTAGAATCATTGTGTTTCCCGGAAGAACTCAAGTGTGTGTTATTAAAAATATACTTTGCTTCCCTTCACATTCTGTTCTATTTTCTTCAATCCTAGCTTATCCATTTCCATAAAGCATAATACATTATGTCCTTTCTAGGTAATTCAAACTTACCTACTTTTAGGGTTAGATGTTTTGTAAGTTCTTTTCTCAATACTAATTCTCGTTTGATGAAAGTAAATTTTTGTCTTTAGGCAAGCCACGCTTATTCCGCGTTAGTTGAGAGCCGCGTTCCTAAGTGTTCCTCTAGGGTTCTCTGACTTAGACACTATTTGAAGACGCCGAAATGTTTCTGGATGTCTTGATAGCCACAGCTTCAATGTGTTTATTGACATTGTTGAAGATAACAACTTCTGCTTATATTTGAACAAATAAAAAAATTAATTTATTAAAATAAAACATAAAAAAATACATTCATACATTTTGCAATTGACCCTTCTTTGGCCTTTTTCGAACCAATATAAATATAGCCAGTTTATTCTAGTAGTATACTAGTACTATTTTAAACTAGTCGTCTAGTATTCCACTGCAGGGTATATTGTCGCCACATGTGTTTTTTCGTACACGCATAACGTGCTCTTAGCGCTTGTATTGTGCCGCAACACTCTACATGTGGCATGCCACAGATTTTGTCGTACAGTGTTGCTTTTTTTTTGCTTTTGTTATACTTCTACGTCAACTATGTTGAAATCAAGAAAATATTTATTATATCGCCACATTGCTGCGGAAAATGCAAAGGAAATTGCACTTCGCCAACTGCATACACTTAATATACAAACTTTTTGGTACATATATATGCTCATACTTATATGTATATGTATATATAATACATACATTGGCTCATAAGCATATACTAACAAAAGTGCATAAGTTGTGACGCAGTGTAATGGAAGGGGTACAACGAGTTAAGCGTTGCAACATATTCTGAAGTGCAGCGGCACTCAGCCACGTCTGCATGCATGAATGGGGCAATGGAATACACTGAGAGAGATTACTACTATTGCTAAGGCAAGGCAAGAATACCATTTGCATTTCGAAATCTAACTTAAGACATTCCAGCAGATGTGAGCTCCTCTTTGTCCAACCCGTCTTTTGATCGCCTCATTTATAGCGCAACAGCGATTACCTTGGTACAGTAAGAAAACAAACAATTATTTTTCTTTAATGATGGCTTGGAAGATCTTGCATTTGTTGATTAGTTGAAAGCTCTTTCCTATTTCTAGGGAGGCGCAGTCATCTTCTAGCCATTTGCCTTTGTTGCTCTCAGCAGCCTAATCTATGCTTGAACTTTGCATTTTTTGTTTCTGAATAGAACCAGATCTAGCTGTCCAGTGATCACAGTGTTGCCAAAACTTTTGTGTAGACGTGCTGTGCGATGTGAACTCATAACACCAGGAGCGCCACTGGTTATAAGAAAAAGGAAATTAAACTGCTTGGTTGAGAGTTCTCTCTTAGTTGTCCTGTCTTGCCTAATTGCAGTATACTCTAAAAGAAGCACACATCTTTCGTTTGGCGTTCTGTTATTAGTTTCAACTAAACGCTCCTAATACTTTAAAGATGTCTCCACTTCCGAACCCATTTTCACAGATTTTGTCTTGGGATTTATAACTAGCCGTAGTGTTCCGCTTGATGCGTCCAGGTCATAAGAAAATTTTCGAGCAGTAGTTTGCTGGGAGAAAAAAGAAGTTACCGATCTTCAAAGTCGAAAATCTGGTGCTCTCAGGAACGGAGCAGAGAGCAGCACGCTATGTATTAGTGGGCCACTGTGAACCAAATCAATCAAGGTGCCAACAGCGTGGCGAAAGCTTGGAATAAGCTCAGTAAGAGTAAATTTTTTAGACTACCAGGTCACTGTAGTGTTTGTCAAGCGGAACTGTGAGCCACACATGAGACTTTCAATGGTTAAGATAGTATTTAAAATTTGCGGTTCGATAAGCAACAGATTCGTGACTCCTCTGTCATTTACATAAGGCAGTTTTTGGTTATAGAAGCTAACCCAAGAGTCCCACGATGATGTGGCTGACCTCACATAAAAAAAGTGCTACTAAGGCTGTCCTCATCTGTGATTTAGAAGTAAGCCTTTATTTCATTTAAAGTCGAGTAGTAATAAAAGAACTTGAAGGAAGGGGTTTCATAAAATCGAATTGAATATCCTTTATATGGAGTGTGATCTGAGTTTGCAATTACATTTGACAAACCTTACTCAGTTCCCATATTTGCCTTTTCGTCAAATACCCTGGAAACGTGAACGACACTTCTGCGGGTGGTGGTAACCGGTCCGGGTATAGCGTTGAGTTACGGCTAAAAGAGAACGAGCTTTAGCAGAGCCACTCCGCAATATTTTGTTGAAT